CTGCTCTGAGAGTCACCTTTGGTTGTTTCGACCACAGGGGGAGATTGGACTGCCAGGCCCTCCAGGACATGATGGGGAAAAGGTAAGAACAGACATACCCAGACACACCTCTGAAAATAGTCCTCACCCTGGGGGCGGAGGGGGCAGGAAAGCTCTGGAGCAGGCCCAGCTGTGAGCCCTGTGGGGAAGGGAGAAGGGGGTGGGAGAGGGGCAACACTGCAGGCCCCAGGAGGAGCCGGCGCCCGGGCTGGGACAGGCTCTCCCTGCCTGCTCCAATCAAGCACCAAAGAGCCAAGTCCTCTGGCCTCCCATTCTTTCCTGTTCTCTCCCCCTCTCTCATCTTTGCTCCATTAATGTGGTTAAGAGGTGATGTTGATGTTTTCTAAAGGGACCTCGAGGCAAACCAGGAGACGTGGGTGCCCCTGGTCCCCAGGGGCCTCCAGGAAAAGATGGGCCTCCAGGAATGAAGGGAGAAAACGGACACCCAGGGAGCCCAGGAGAGAAGGGAGAGAAAGGGGAGATGGGACAAGCAGGCTCACCGGTGAGTGGCGAGGGCTGGCTGGCCGCTTTGTGCATGTGCCACGCCCAGGCATGATGCCAGTTCTGCATGGTGCCAGCTGCTTACCCAGGCTACAAATCTGGAGCCAGGAATTGGGGATGGGGACTTCACTTGGTTTCCCCTCAAGCCATTCACTTTATGAAGGCCAGTGTCCTGACTCAGGAGACCTGAGTCCTGCTCTGTCATCACCTGTCTGTGTCCTTGGGAATGTCACCGAGCCTTGCAGAGCCTCAGTTTCCTCATCTCTAAAATGGGTATAGCAATGCCTTCCCTGGATACCTCACCAGATTGTTGGGGTAGAGATGAAGTCATGAGTGTAGAACTGCCTCTTTGGGAAGCATGCTGAAGTCCTACTCCCAGGAAAGGTTGCATGTGCATAAAAGGGTCCTTAGCGCAGCCCAGCTAGGCACCGATTTGGCTCGGGAGCCTTCTCTGGACCTCAGTGTTTTCCATCTGTGAAATGGGCACCCTCCTAGACACCCACCCTCCAAGGAAGGAGCCATCCATGCATGCCATACTTGGTCATGGATGCTGAGCATGATGACCTTGAGCTTGACTAACAGAGGTCTTTGTCAATCTGTAGGGTCTAGATGGCCCAACTGGGGAGAAAGGAGAACCAGGTGGCCAAGGGAGACCCGGAGCGACAGGATTGCCTGGCCCAATTGGGCGCCCAGGATTTACAGTAAGGCGAGAGGGCCGGGTGTTGAGGCTGTCGGCAGGCAGCTGCAGATGAGGGCACACGAGAGTGTGCCCCTCACTAGGGCCCCCAGCCCAGTAAGTGCCTGGCACTGTGATGAGGCTGCACTAACCCGAGCCTGCCTGCCCGGCCTGGGGGTCCATCCATGGCAGCCCCAGCACTGGGACATACACAGGGGTTACAGCTTCCTCCCAGCATGACAGCCTCTGTCCTGAGATGCCAACCTAGTTCCAAGGTGCTAGTCTTAGACTCAGAATTCGCCTCTTAGAAGTGGGAAGAGCCTCAGAGGTCAACCAGTCCCCCTGCAGGAATCCCTCAGCAGCCTCCTGACCGTGGCTGTCCCATTCAGCTGGGACAACAGGTGGCAGCTCGTGGCCTCCTGACATGTCCACTCCACTGTGGGGCAGCTCCAGGGGGAGGGAGCACTCCTGGGTGTGGGGTGGAAGCTTCCTCAACAGCTCCCCCCACCCCAACCACGGCACCCTCTGGAGCTGTATCCATTTTCTATTACTGCATAACAAATCACTGCAAATTTAGGGGCTTAAAACAACACACATTTATTGTCACATAGTTTCTGCGGGTCAGGAGTCCAGGCATGTCATAGCAGACTCCCCATCCAGGGTCTCATGAGGCTGCTCTCACGGTGTTGGCCAACTGAGTTCTCATCTGGAGCTAGGGGCCCTCTTCCGTGCTCACTGGCTGCTGGCGGAATTCAGTTCTTTTCTATAGTAGGACTGAGTCCCTCGGGTCCTAGATGACACCTACTGTTCCCTACCACATGGTCCTCCCCAAAGAGGGCCATTCACATTATAGCAGCTGGCTTTTTCAAAGCCAAGGCTAGCAGGAGTGTCTCTCTAGCGTGTGCTAGCAAGACAGAGCTATGTGTGTGTAACATGTTTGTAACATAATCTTAACATATGTTCTACATATGTTATCATTTGTATAATATGTGTATGTTGTAATGTGTGACATAATCACAGGAGTGATATCCCATCCCTTTGCCATATGCCCCATTCTATGGCTTAGACACAAGTCACAGGTCCACGCTAGGGTCTGCTCACCACACGGTCCACACAGAATGTCAGCTTCTCCTCCCATGTCTAGAACTTCAGATTCTTGAAAACAGGGACCACAGCCCCTTCCCCAGTCTTCTGTCCTGCAGGCCAACTGCCTCCACACCCTCCGAGGTGTTCTTAGCTGACACCTAGACCAGTCTAGTCTGGGGCTAGGTTGTGACAGATGCAAGGGTGTGTCTGTGCCCAGGATCCCCCAGGTGCTGGCATTTACACCGTGGTGTTTTGTGCCCACAGGGAGAGAAAGGAGAAGCCGGGGAGAAGGGTGACCCAGGAGCAGAGGTAGGTCCCACCTGCTCTTCCTTTTCTGTCACAGGAGATTATTTGACAGAGACCTCATCAAATGACAGTCTCTCCAGGATGCACAGCACTTCTGTGCTCTAGAATGAAACGCACAGCTGCCTGACATGGGGAGGGGAGGAAGCTGAACTGTGCTGAGTTTGCTGAGCACTCTTGTGGGTGCTCCATGGTCTCCCCATGAACCAGGCCTCTCGGCAGCATTTGCAGAGCACCTGCTATGCATCTGTCCTGGTGCTAGAGGCTAGAGATGGGAAAATAAAGAGAACCGTCCCTCTGCACTCACAGTCCCCAGTGATGGATACTAGAGTGGCAGCCACCAGGGGACTCAGATGAGCATCCCAGATGAGCCATTTGGTAGCGCCTTGAGGACTTTATAGGAGTTTGCTGCAAGGCTTCAGAGGAAGGCTTTCCAGACGAGGCATGATTCTCTTGAGAAGTAAGAGAGTGACAGGAAGAGGAGCAAGAACAGCAGAGTGACAGGTAGACGGGATAGAGACACAGTTTTCATAAGATGGGAGAGAATCGGCCTTATTTGTAGGCTCAGGGGAAAGCTCCAGGAAAGCAACAGAGATCAGGGACCCGTGAGGGAGAGGATGTTTGGTGGCGGGGACTGAGCAACCCAGATGCCACCTCAGAGCCCAGAGAGAGACCACCAAGCCTTCACAGTCCCCAGTGAGGCCTCCCAGCCCTGTCACCCTTCAATGTTGCCAAGCCTGTCTGAATTTAGTGAAACAGACCTGATCGTATAATATGTATATTACTTGCTTAGAAATAGATAGCCCTCTAAAGAAATGTTCCTAAATTTAGGAAAAGCTTTATACACAAAAATGTTCCTCCCAGAAGTATTTAAAGTAAAAATTGGAAATAGCCTAAATTTCTAACAAGAAGGAAAGGATTAAGTAGCATGTGGTAAAAATATTAATAGTAATAATCGTCACCGTGTTTGAGAGCTTTCCTTGTGCCAAGCACTGCTCTAAGCACTGGCTACACAGTAACTCACGTTCATTCCACTCAGTGAATAGCTCGACTGCATTAAAAGGAAGCTTGTGAGGAACATCTAAAAAATGGAAAAATGGGTTTCATGTTAAGTGAAAAAGAATTAAAAAATTATATATAATTATCATAAGTATATAGATATATTCAAATGCATTTTATGCATCAAAAAAGCATTTAAATATTTTTAACTTTTTTATTTTTAAAATTATCATGCAGATAAAATTGACTTTTAGGGGAGTGTGTACAGTTC